TTGGAGGGTCTTTTATTTAATTTGATCCTCTGTGATTGATTAGAACCCTCAAAGTTGCTGAGTCAGCCAGCTTTTCATGGCTGTAACAAACACCTGAAGCCATCAACTTAGAAAAGTAAAATAACTATTCTGTCCTACAGTTTCTACGCCTCAGTCTATGGTCAGCCAGGCCATGCCTTGGAGCCTGTTGGTGAGGTACCACACGATGGCACAGGATACGGCAATATAACCAAGTAGTTGTTTACCATGTAGCAGCAAAGTGAAAGAGAGGAGAGAGACCGGGGCCAACAGCCCCTTCAGAAACATGACAGAGACTTCCCATAGGCTCCATTTCCCAAAGTCTAATTCGGGAACTAAGCCTGTATCACACGGACCTTTGGAGACCACTCTAGACCCAAACCATTCCCTTCCTTCCTCCCGCTGCTTTTCTCCCAGTCATCTGTGAAATACCACTTAGACAAATATATAAGTATGTAAAGGTCCCTTGCTTCAGGGCTTCCAGGACACAGGTACTCTATTTTCACTCATGGGATAATTATATGTACTTAGCAATGACTATAAATGGAATTGTTCTAATAAGAAAAACTAATGACACTCACCCTGTAGGGGTGGAATCCACCAAACCACACACTCCCAACAGTTCAGATCACTGAGCATTCCGTTTTCACAGGAATGGTTCCTACAGTGTTGCAGGGAATGCCAGAGATGCTGTTACTTCTCCAGCAGATAAAAATGACACAGAGCACTGAGAAATTATTTCATTAACGAGGTAGCTGTCAATTAGCCAATGGGGTAAGCTCAGAAGCTAAGCAAAACTAAGCCACTTGCAGAAAGCATTGAGGTTGGATTGCTACTGAGAAATATTTCATTTGTTAAGCTTAGAATACTTTTATTTTCCACATATAAAGGAAATTATTCCATGGGAATTTTGAGGATAATATTATCGGAATTAGTCATATGCTTATATGCAGTATAATTAACATGTATAAAATACAAAACAAAATATGTTGCCTACATTCACAATTTTAGAGCTAGAATGATGAACATCTTGTCAGAAGATCACTGCCTGTGTCCAGCTGAGATGTTGCTTCCAAAGGAAACCGAGCATCCATCCTCCAGCACCTCAAAAGATGAGGTCAAATGACACCTGACAGCCGTGAGTCTCAGGTGCTGTCTGCTGTCACGCCCTCAGCCACCCTCTAACAAGACAGAAGATGACGGTGAGTGGGAAACCGACACTAGAAAATGGAGAGGGTAAGAAAATATCCTGCAGTATCAGCCAGAAGGGCCCCTCTGAGACCCAAGCCTACAGCAGTAAGCAGGGGAGCCGCTCCTCCTGGCAACACTGATAGTCTGCAAAGTGCACAGCTGCTCCTCTGAAGGTGGGGCCAGAAGCCTGGCTGTCCAGCGCTTTCCTGACTCAGCCCCAGAGGTACCACCATTGAGAGGTGTTGGCCATCCAGCTAAGCAGAGGTGGCAGACATACTGATTGCCTAAAACATTGATGTATGCATATACCTCTATCGCTGGGCAGTTGAAAAAAGCAAGTTTTGAAGATGGTGCAAATGACCTTGGAAGAAACCCTGGACCATTTGCCATGTAGCTGTGGCGCCAGTCTCTCCCCAGAGTTGAGCACCGCTCAAAGGATGCTGCTAGAAAAAGTGTTCATCTGGACTGCTCATCAGACCCTTTAGCAAATCCTTCGAGAAAAACAGCAGTCTTTGTTTGTGGACAGTGCGGTTGTCTTTGGGAATGAATGAAGAAGTTTCAGAAACATGCCTAGCTCACAAGGCCAGCATTCAGCTGAGGATCACCACATAGCATTCAAACAAGGTGAGGGCCCAAGCAGGAGTCTACTTTCCCTGATTGTCTCCTGTCCTGTCTCTGAACACGGTAGGAAAGGACACACCCTCCGTGGAGCCTTGAGCAGTGTCTGTGAACGCAAAAACACCAGTGACCACACTGAGATGTTCCTGGACCTAAGACAATACTACTTCAAAGACTTCAACACTGCAGTTCATGTGCGAAGACGGGACTACCAGGCAGGGTCTCTAACAGCACGGCCAGAGGTGTGCACCTCTGGGAACACAAACATCTGCGGAGGTCAGGGTACTTCTCCCAAGGCCTTGTTTTTCATCAGAGGTCAGAAAGTGACAGCCTGAGGGGACAAATCTGTCCCAGCAGACTACCATGTTTCATAAATGAAACTTTATTGCGGCCCGGCCACACCTCTTTGTTTAAATGTGGACCTCCTCTGCTTTCACCCCACAATGGCAGCATTGAGCAACTGCCACCCAGAACTCGTTGCCAGCAAAGCCTAAAATATTTACTTCTGACCCTTTATAGGAAAAGCTTTGCAAACCTGCCCTTTCTGTTTATGTCTGTTTGAGGGACTAGTTAAAATGGGAACTTACAATGAATTGTCTTTTCTCTCTAATCTTCCTCAATCGCATTTGAATTCTTTTGTCTCTAACAAAAGGTGATGACATGGAATGTGCTGTATCATTGTGCCCATCTCCTGGCACTGTGGTAATACATTATCATAAACTGTGTAGCTTACAACTCACAGTTTCAGAGAAGTTCAGCCAACCAACGTCAGCGTGCCCGCAATGCGGTTCGCTACCCTCCCCCACTGCTGTGATAAAAACACCTAAGAAAAGCAACCTAAGGGAAGAGAGGTCCGCTTAGCTTACAGCACAGAGAACACAGTTCATCCTGGTGGGAGGACAGGCTAGCTGTGGCTGCGAGGACAAAGGCTTGCCACACTGCGGGAAGCAGAGAGCTTATGCTAAAACAGGCTGGAGTAGCCCTCAGGACCCACCTCAGGATGGCCTACTTCCTCTAGCTAAGTCTCACTTCCTAAAGGTGCCAAAGCCTCTACAAATAGTGCCACCAGCTGGGGACCAAGTGTTCAAATACATGAACCTACAGGGAATATTTCATTTAAATCGTACTGTAGAGCACTCTCTCTCTGAAGTTCTTGAGAGAATTTCATTTGCCTTTTTCAGCTTCTGAAAGCCAGAAATCCTTGGCATGGCATGTCTTGTATACCCATCACTCCAATTTCTGACTCCATCTTCATTTATCTCTCTGTGTCAGTGCCTCTGGATCCAAACTTCTCTCTGATTCTGTGACATCATCTTAACTAGGTCATGTCTTCAAAGACCCTGTCTGCAATTAAGGTTATATGCACAGTTTCTGAGTGAACTTGAATCGGGGTGTGTGTGTGCTTGCACACATGCACATGTGTGTTTGGGGGGGGGGCATTGATAAACCCTAGGCAATTCATTACTTGGTACTAAATATATTGTATTGCTTTACCCACCATGATATATTCTGATCAATTTTCAAGCCAATTTACTCACTTTCCCTCCACAGTGGTCTTGGGGTGTTGTCAGCCTGTCCCACCTACTCATGCCTGCTTTCCTCTACTTTGGAACATCTCTCTTTCCAACCATCCAATGTCTTCTCTTCACTGTCACTTAAAAACTCCTGTCTGTGAGCCCATCCCTGGCATTCCTTTTTGTTTTCCATATTTTAGCTGCAAAGAGCTTCTGGCCACAGTGGCTTCCTCTGGTTTATCTTGTAGACAAGACACAAAAACCTAGTGTATTCTTGCTATGAACGTAGCCACTGTCTAACAAAGAACAACAAAGCTGAAACAATTCTCCACTGTTCCCTTTCCTCCTGTGATTTTAGAGTCGTAATTATTTATTTTGCATTTTAATAGTACTTGCCTTTGTGCAGTGCTATCAAGAAGTCATGAATGTTAAGGGAAATCCCTATCTACCAACAGACAGCCTCAGCCCCACCATTGACAGGTGAGGCACAGGACTCTCCAGCCAGCTGCAAATTTACACAAACAACAGATCATTTTGTAGAATAACTATATTGTACTCAGTACTTACGACATAGTTATACTAAAAATATTTGTTGTTTATCTGAAATTCAGAATAATCTGTGTGTCACATAGTTTTATTTGCTTACGTCTGGTAATCATAAGTAACGGTCATTTACTACTTAAAGGTACAGTGAACCTCACTAAATACTAAAGACATTCTCTTCCCTTCTCCTACTGTCAATACCTCTGAGAAGTTTTTTCTAAGGCCATTTGATAGCAAATAACACTGAAGCATGTATCTTTTTTCCTTCTGTATCAAGAGATTTCTCTAAGAATTCTGCAAATCTAGTGTTCTGGTGCTAGTCTGAGACTCTCAACATTCCATAGTCACATGGCCTTGAACAAGCCGTTTCATCTGTCCATCTGCACTTGGGGACATCCATCTGTAAACAAGAACAAAACGGGTTCTGGCGAGGAGTAAATTTCAGATAAAAAACATAGCACTTTGCATACAGCAATCGCCGGACACAGTTCCATGGCTTAGAGTTATCACTGGTCGTTGTGACTGACTGCATACAGTCAGGGGTACATTCTGCCAGGACATCAGATTGTCAAAGGAATCAAGTGTAGACTTTCACCACACTCTCCAGGTAAAGTTCTACCGCTCTACCTGATCAAGGCAAACCTGAACGGACATGTTTACTTTGCGATTTAACTATGTGTCCTACCACATTCTACAAATGTTTTAAGCCAAAGTTGGGGCTGACCTCTGATTATAAATCTACAGATCTAACCCTGAGAAAGACAATAAATGGCATGACCCTTTCCAAGCCAGAGCTTCTAGCAGGTGAGCACACAGGTATGTTTTATATGGGTCATTGGAGTGGCCTTGGAAAAAACAGGTGGGACCAGAGCCCAGTTTCGTGTGCGCGCGTGTGTGTGTGTGTGTGTGTGTGTGTGTGTATACATATGTGTATATTATGTATATTTGCAACATAATATGGAAGATGTTGAGAAACACTATTCTAGCCTCCAGGGGAAGCTCAGGACTTAGGTGCCTTTATTCTAAAAATGCACTCTTTCACGGGGATAAAGAGGTCTAAAATGGAGCATAACAAATGGAGTCTTTAGTGGTGTGTGACTGAAGCCTCTCTTGCAGGAACAGCCTATGAGGAACAGAGAGGAGTGTGACCAACACTAGACGGGAGTAAACCTTGCTCAATAGCTACCAGCCAGGTTCTTCTCACCCTATTGACTTAAAGTTGAGGCCACAGGGAAAGTGGCGTAGACTCGGCCAGTGGCATCTGAGTACTGCCCTTCAGTTGGAGACTTGCCTTTCCATCATGCAGGGTGTCCATTTTCAGTAATGAAGGTAAGATCCAGGTGGGCCAGTATCTTTCTTAAGTCTCTCAGGAGATACAGAACTTGCATCATCTACAGAAGGTGCTCCAGTGCATAAAACTTCTCTATCTACCCCATGGCTTCAAGACTCTTTCTTAATCCCAGAGGGGCATCAAAAATATTCTAATGATATACCTCAATCAAACAGACAAAAAGTATGGTCATTGTTTTCCTGTGGATTGCTTGATTGTTGGAATAAAATAAACGTTAGGTAGCTTAGGTTGGACTTAGGCTAGGGCTCAGGTGCCCATCATGAAGACCTGGTTTTACATTACCTATGAGGAAGATCCGATCTTGTACATTTACCAGCTCCTGGAAGACTACATTGACGGTAACCTCCACACCCATAACTGAGGAGCTATTGATATACTGGTAGATTTGGAGGGAGGGGGAATGGGATTTCTTTAAGGGTGTAGTATGTGGACCAAACTCCTATGGATGACCCCCACCCATGAATATATGAACCACACAAATTGAACTTGGTGTAGACTGCACATGGGCCTGGCTTGTTTTTCCTTATCTTTTAAAATCTACTATAATTTGTACTGAGAAGTACAGTGTGCTGGCAAGATTTCTCCAATTGTCTAAACATATTATTTTGGATATGGAGTGCAGAGCGATGTGGATGGTGGGTATTTACTGTCCCCAGACTCTAATCTCAACAATTAGACAATGATAAGGCATGCCAGTATAATGCTGTTGGTTGAGGGAAGAAAGCATAGGTTTAAGGCTCAAACAATTCTCTAGATAAAACCCAACATGGAACATGGTTCCCTAACTTGGACACGGTCACTTAAATTCTTTGAGCTTTGTTTCTCTCACAAAAGAGAACCTTCCTTGCTGGAATACTGGAGGGATTTATGGAGTTAACTAACAGTAGAAGGGACAGTTAATATCATCCTACCTGGCAGAGGGAATGGAGTGATGGTTTCCTGATCCAACAGAGACTGGGTTTCACTGGCCCCACTGTCTCTGGAGCCCTTTGTTCCCTGGCTGGGCCCCACCTTCCATGAGGTCTGCCTTTGAGCACTGTTGGACACAGACACGGACATGAACACGCACACACATACACTTCGTTTCTAAGTGTTACATACTCATTTGACAATATCCCCACCATGTCAGCCATTTATTTATTATCACTTAAAATCTGCTTCCAAAATTGCAGTTTTTAAACAAAATATATTACTTTTTTAATATTTGAAATATTTTTAAACAAAAGAGGACCCTTCTAAATGAGTTTCTTCAGTCTCATGATATTTCAGGGACCATGGGCAGGTTTTAGGGGACAGATCTTAAGGTATGATGACTCCTGCACAGGCATTCCTGTTTCTGCTGGAAGGGGAGAAATTGCCACATGAGAAATCATTTTTTCTTCTGACTCCTTACCTAGAATGTCCTTTTTCATTTCTACATCTACAAGACACCCCCAACACACACACACACACACACACACACACACACACACACACACACACACCATTCCCCAGGGATTTGTGTTGATAGTTTCCCTTCTTTATATTCCCAAAGCAATGAAAATTTTCTGTCTCAAGTGATAACTATTTAAATAATAATAAAATCATCACCCATTATCTTGTGCAAACCTCACACATCCACTGACTCTTCTAAAGTTACATTCATGTGCTTTCATCTAATTATCTCTCCAAAGGTACAGGTTTGATTTCTTATTTGTCTCCATGTTCCAGAGGATGAAGTCACATGTAATAAAAGTTGATGAAGAAATGAATAAGTGGATAAATCTTAACAATCTACTATAAGGGGTGAGATACACTTAAGAAGCAAGCTCAGTGATGTCAATGATCCTCACACAGTCTTTAAAAGACAGTAGTCTGGTTTTTGTTGTTGTTTTTTATTTTAAAGCTGTGTCCCTTGTTCCACACATATTTAATCTCCATAGAGTATGTCGAGGCTTGGTTCCTTGACAGTGACATTCATGAAGAGACAGCCTCCCTTCAAGAAGGTGTCACCTAGGAACCATGTGATCAAAAGCCTATTGGGAAAGCAGGCTCTGGTGAATGATGGAGGCAAGAGATGCTTGAATCTTCTAAGGGGGTTTGCATCTAGACTAGCTGAGGCCAGTTTCCTGGTACTAGTAGACTCCAGCATTGGTGAGTCATGTCAGTGGATTCCTGCAAATTTCCAAGCATGAGAACAGGCTGTTTCTCCTTCCTCTACAGCTGCCTCTAGGGGGATTTATTCAAAGATCCTAAGTTATAGCTATATCCTAAGCTACTGAGGGAAATAGAGCCCAATGGCTAACTGTCTCTTCATATATAAAATGGGAATAAAATCAGTTCCTCTACCAGCTTCACAGGAGAAGTCAAATGTAAAAGGCTTCTGTCACCTTTGTGATACCACAGATGGTAGCCAGCAGACTGTTATTGCAACACACCTTCAACTTGAAGGTAGCATTGGCTAGAAAGAATATACACGATTCAAAGGCAGAATTTCAGGAAGAAATGGTAAGGAAAATATCCTAACTGTGCAATAGATTGCAAGAAATCATGCTGACCATAGGGACCTCAAATTGCCTTGGAAAGATGTCCTAAAATGGAGGAAATATGACGCAAAGCAAATGGGACGCCTCAAAAGTCACTGGCTTCTGCCTAATTTCTTTAGAATTTAAACCCAAACCTAAGTTCTTATAAATCAAACACTCTGGACTATTTCAATCTGCCAGAAGGTGTCCTGAACCCCAAAGAAGAGAAGGAGCCCTGAATCCACACACATGCATCCCATATTTGGAAACCCAAGAGCAAATCACTCTTCTCAGGAAAAATGTTCATTGTCTGAGCAGAACCGTGTTCTTTTCAAATTAAAGCTGTGAGTGGGAGTGCTTGCATTCTGGAATAGTCTTTTTTTCCCCTTGCCTTCACCCCATGTTCCTTGGCTACACACTATTATGTGATATTCAGGACTGTCAAACCTTCTGGAGCCATAGGCATTCTGCATACAACCAATCTCAATATGCACTATCAAAATTAGGTCTTTTCTCTGCAGATGACAATTATGTATTGTATGCTTACATGCTTATGAGTCTGTGACACCGTATTGTTAGACTCGGGTACTGACTTTTAACAATATGTTACCTTATTATATTTGGTGTCGCATTATGCCTGGATTGCAGCAGCATTTGTCCCGTGGCCCCACTCAGGCAGCAATTAGTTTCTCAGTAAGTGTCAAACAGTGTTGGGGGAAGGGTGGGTGAGAGGTAACTTGCAAATGGTTTTCTTTTACAACTGTCACTTAACTATCCTGCTTCTGCACAAAAGAACTTCAACCTCCATGAAAAACCCAACTTGTATGCTCATCAATAAAATTGCCTCTTAACAGGGTGGTGACTCCAGTTGGGAGTTCAAACATTCCAAAGTATTGGATACCACTCTACCACTCCATGGTCACAGCCAACAGAGAGAGAGGGGAGAGAGAGAGAGAGAGAGAGAGAGAGAGAGAGAGAGAGAGAGAGGGAGAGAGATTGACAGAGACAGACAGAAAGACAGAGAATACAAAACCTTGTATTCATTTCTATAAACACAAGCTCAATGCAGTTTAAACTCATAAACATGCTAAAAAGAGCTAGAGGTAGCCTGTTACTTTGTCATATATTTTTATAGGTCCTTCTGAATGGTTTCAGATTTGACATAGTAACTGCCTGTTACTAGGAATAAACTGTAAGTCAATTCCATGCTGCCATAATTCACTGCTCAGGGTTGTTCAAAAAGATTTAGTGATGCCCATGATGGACAGCAAGCCTCTTGATGTTTTCATTTCACTTCGTGTTTTTGTCATGCCTCCGGCTTTCTGACCTAGAGAGACCCGGAAGGAAAAGGCTTTCCAAAGGTGCCACTGTTCCCATCCTGTCAGGAAAAGACCTGTCCTTGCCAGAAAGCAAATGAGACATTTTCTCCTTGTCTCCTTGGGTCTGTCTGCCTTCCTTATTTTATTTCTAGGGGTTGACAATTCTTGTTCCCATGGAGTGACCTGTTTCCGAGAGAATAAATTACACCAAGGTCACACATAGCACCCAGCAGGAATTAGGTGCCTGAAAAGTAGCAATACCTCATCTCCTTGGCTGGCATTTCCTTTTGGCTCAAGGCTTTGGCTGCATCTCCACCGTGTCATGCACCCAGATGGAAAGTGAAAAATCCATTCAGCCATCTGGCTGTTTCTGTCTACACAGTGCCATGCATCTGGAGCCATCTGGGAGAAGAACTGGATCTTGTCATTTGCTGCCTGGTATTTGGTGTGGTGTAGACGCAGTCCTGTAGAGGACTGAAGAGCCTAATAGCTCTCCCACCCCATGTGAGAGGCTAAAAGGAAGAGTCTAGGATAATGAGACCTAGTGTGCCATTCTGGAAAACAAATGGAAACTTAGTGGATTGCAGTATAATGAAAACAGTAGGAAATAATAAGGGAAAGACCATTGTTTATTAAACAAAGCCAACTCTGAGTGCTGAATCCAGCGATTATTTGTCAAGTTAGTTTGTCCCAGACAGTTAACAAAATATTCCCGAGGGCATATTTTTACAATTCTTCCCTGGAGTTGGACATTAGTCTAAAAGACACCTCAAATGGACTTCTGTGCTGGAAAATACAGCTGAGCTTTAAAAAGTATGACTTCTAAACCCTAATTAGTGTCTCCTCCAAGACACCCTCTCTATTTCTCAGAGTTTGTCATAAAATAAATAATGAAAAAAATTCATGAAGCACTTCCCGAGGAAGATGTTCAACTTGGGAGTGTCCCCTTCAAGTGTCACTGCCTACCCGCAACATTTAGACCTTAGCACTGAGGGGTCAAGGTGGAGATATACAGGGAATGAGTAGTGGAGAAATGGGAACAGGAGTTGTATAAATACGGCTTTCCCTGATATTCTAATTAAACATCTTGGGATTCTGGGTCCTCTCTCTCCAGCTCATTTCTGAAGCTTGTCTCTGGCAGGACTTGGCACCTTCCCTTCACGTCAGTCTCTGCAGACACAAACTTGAGTTTTCACACCACACACAGTGAGGTACCATATAAAACTGTTTAAATAAGAATAGCTCGCATCTAAAGAAAAAAATCACAATTCAAAACCAACCCTGAGAAGAAGCAGGGAAGGGAATAAACCGACAGATTAACACAATGTGCCACTCCAGGGTTTGAGCCCAAAGCACTCCTGAGTCTGACCTTGACCCAGGAATGGATGGAGTGCACTTTGGCCCTGAGGAGAAGAGGAAGGTGAGGTAGGTTCAGAAGAAAAGAGGTCCCTGGCTCCCAACCACACAAACAGGAATCTCACCCCACATTGAAATGCTGTGCTCACATTTTATGAATCAGACTCTTAGTTTTAATTGCTTCTTTTACTATAGGCCAATTAAGGATGGGTCTGGAGGGCAGGGATCATTCCCACAGCCT